TTTTTTTTTTTTTTTTTGTACACTAGGTGATGAGAGGAAGTCCAGCTCAAAGCAGATTTCTAAACAAACCAAGAAAAGATGAGAAGAGTGTCCACACGGAGCAATGATGGCACTAACCTGGTACAAGAAAACAGACAAAACTAGATGAAAAATACATCTACATAGGGCAACCTGTGCATGGTGTTCAAGTGGGAAAAGGTATCTGTGCAGGAGAGAAAAGGTGAAGCAATAAGGGATTGGTTACAAATTTGCAGATGGATTAAAAAATAAGTAACAATATTAAGAATAATGGGAACCTGGAATTTTCTTACCATTAAAGAATTAGAAACTGAAAAGGGAGAAAAGTAAAATGAAACCTATGATGTTGGACTGAAATTGAAGGGACAGCCAGGCATGGTGGCACACATTTATAATCTCAGCAACTAAGGAGGCTGAGGCAGGAGGAGGGCAAGTTTGAGGCCAGTCTTGGCAACTTAGCGAGGAACTAAAAGTAAAAGTGAAAATGGGCTGGGGGTGTAACTCAGTGGTATAGCACCTCTGGGTTCAATCTGCAGTACCATTAAAAACAACAACAACATATGATTCACAATGTAAGAGCCTGGAGTATAGTTCAAGCTCTTTCCAATAAATCTCTGATCCCAAGGATAAAGCGTTTAATTATTCAGGGTTTTTTTTTTGTTTTTTGTTTTTTTTGGTGGTGGGGCGTTATACTGGGGATTGAACTCAGGGTCTTGTGTATGTGAGGCACTCACTCTAACAATTGAGATCTAGCAGCAACCCCACTATTCAGGTTCAAAAAATCTTAAGATTTTTTGGTGGGGAAGTCTAGCAGGGATTAAACTCAGAGGTGCTTTAACACTGAGCTTCATTCCCAGCCCTATTTATTTATTTAGTGGTACTAGGGATTGAACCCAGGGACTTGTGTATGTGAGGCAAGTGCTCTACCAACTGAGCTATATGCCCAGCCCCATTATTTTTTATTTTGAGACAGGATCTTTCTAGATTGTTTAAGGCCTCACTAAATTGCTAAGGCTGGCTTCAAACTTGCGATCCTCCTGTCTCAGCCTGTGGAATCCCTGGGATTACAGGCATGTGCCACTCAGCTGAACATAAGATTTTTATATGAGGCATATGCAAGACAAATATAGATTGAACAAAGTTCCTTGTACACTGAAAGCAAAAGAAATTAAGAATATGTTTTTGGATGGGTGAATGGATGGATGAATATAAGTGTGAGTGAATATGTAAACAGCCTTAGGGATAGTGAGATTTAAGAACAATGATCATACTTAATGTCAAAGTCTTGGTTTCTAAATAATAATCTCTACTGAAAAGAAAGGACTTGCAAAAAAAGCTGATTACAGGACTGATGTATGAGGAAATTCAAGATAAAACTGGAACATTTTGTACAAGAAACAGGGAAGTGCTCAAAGAATAAGACAAAACAAAAGGACTCCAGAGCCAGATGGAAGAGGCTTCAGTGGCTAAATAGAGTACAATTTGGGCTGTAAAAATCATTAACAGACTGTAATTGATTGAGTAAAATATGAAATCATGAATTTGAATTAACTCAAGATAGGTCAAAGGCCTAAATGTCAGACCTAAAAATATGAAATTCTTAGGAGATAACTGTAAGGATGGCCTTATGGCTGAGCCTAAGCAACTCCAGTTTGAAACCTGAAGTCTCCAGCTCATCAGGTATGGCCCTCAGGCACAAACAAGTCACTTCCCCTACCCTGGTAAACTCAGAGTGAAGCCTGTGGCAGGCTGTCTTCACCTGATAAAAGGGAAAGGTGCCTGATAAAAGAGAAAGTTGAAAAGATCAGGGTGGGGACCACCAGACCAGATGTTTTAACCCCAGGGTAAATGATGTCACTGAGAAATCCATTGGTAGCTAATAAGGATTGAAAGGGGTCAAAAGCCCCAAAATTTAATATAAATAATAGAGTAAATGAACAGATATTCAACCAGCTGACACTGATCCCCACAAGCCTGAGAGTCTGATGAGGACCTGGAATGACCTTCCCAACCATTCTCATCTGCTTGAACCTGTGTTGTTCTCACCACTTTCTAACCCTACAGCCACATATTGACCCTGGTGAGAGCCGCAACTTCTCCCTAGGACCACCTCCTCAGCCTGCCATCAGCTCCACCCCAGGAGAATCCTGCCTTGGTTCCGGACCTGGTCACAGTGTTCTGAATGAGTGTGCATCTGCTGGACTTAAAGCCTAAGGCTTGAGACTTTTGATCTGACACTTGAACTTAGCATGCAGCGGGAATGTCTGTCATTAGCCTGTCATGGTTAAATGTGTGTGTAGTGCTTAGAATTAATCTAGAATTGTTTGCTGTGAATTGTCTATTGTACTACCTAGCATTAAGTATTGTCGTTTTCTTGATTAAGAACCTATAGAGTGAAATTGTATTGAGTGATTTGAGTGAATAAAGCATTGAAAAGGGCAGAAGCATGTGGACATTCTTTATTTCTTCCCCTCAACTGCATAAGTCACACCTTTTGCCCATAGTGACAATAACATAGGGGAAAATCTTTATAAAATTGGTTTAGCAGGACTGGGACTCTGGCTCAGTGGTAGAGCACCCTCCTAGCATGTGTGAGGCACTGTGTTCGAGCCTCAGCACTACATAAAAATAAATAAATAAAGGTACTGTCCATCTACAACTAAAAAATAAAGATTTTTAAAATATTTTCAGTTACAGATGGACACAATACATTTGTTTTATTTGTTTGTTTTTTATATGGTGCTGAGGATCGAACCAGTGCCTCACATGTGCTAGGCAAGTGCTATACCACTGAGCCACAACCCCAGCTCCAAGATATTTTTTTTAAAAATTGGATTTAGCAATGATTTCTTGGATGTGACAACATAAGCTCAGGCAATAAGCCCCCTTCCCCCCAAAAAAAAGAAAAAAGAAAAAAAAATTGGACTTCTTCAAAATTAAACTTTTGAACTTCAAATGACACTGTCAAGAGAATGAAAAGATAATTTACAGAATGAGAGAAAATACTTGCAAACCATTTAATAAGAAAATACAGAATAGATTTTTAAAAACTTATAATTCAACAATGAAAAGAAACATACCCTGATTTTACAAGAGGAAAAGGATTTGGATAGCTATTCAAGGAAAAAGCATAAATAAAATTAAGCACATGACAAATTCTCAACATCATTGTAATAAGGGAAATATAAATCAGAACCAAATGAGTGATCTAGAGCACTTGCAGAGCATGAACAAGGCCCTAGGTTTCCTCTCCAGCATAACATTGCAAAAGAAAAGAAAGAAAGAAAAGCAAAAAAGAAAAGAAAAATTTAAGGGGGCTGGGGATATGGCTCAATAGTAAAGTGCTTGTCTAGCATGTGTGAGGCCCTGCCTGAGTTCAATCCCCAGAACCCGCCCCACAAAAAGAAAAAAGCTCTCTCTGATTTCCAACATGTGAGGACTCAGCAAGAAAGTGGCCATCTGCAAATCTAAAAGAGGGCCCTTGTGGGAGACCAACCTCGAATGTGACTGAGTTAACTCCCCTGCTAGGCGATGTGGCACCTGTGCTGCTAGACTGCCTGGCTCTTCTAGGGTTCCAGTGACTGTCTTTCTTCCAGGGAGGGCATGTATTGCTACAGCCCCATGGGTAGAGCTATGCTCACCTGTTCCTTTGTAATATAACCCCTTGCCCTGTTTAGGATAGAATGGTCCATGGAAATGCTTTGTGTGTGTCCCCCTTTCTTACTGTGCCCTTGGGTATGGCCTACCTAGATGTCAGTCAACCTGCTGACAGTGGACATCATGAAGATAGATTCAGCCCCCTGAAACCTGATCCCTTGCCTCATTTGAATAGCTTCTCCTCAATAAAAGGGGTCAGTGTGTACTCTCTCTCTTTTCCTGCAGACCTTTAATGTCAGAGGAGCCATCACAGCGACCCGAAAGAAAAAGGTATTTGTGTCTCTTGTGTGGTTATTTCGTGCAGCCCAATTAGCCCAGTTTACCTGGAGTGACCCCTGAGCCTTTTAGTCGCGAGAACAGAAACCGGCAGGCCCTCACCAGAACCCTCGCATGCTAGCACCCTGATCTCAGCCTCCAAAACTGCCATGAATGAGTCCTAGGATTCTACTCCATGTCACCTCCCAAGACTGCTCGCTGCCCCTCCTATTTCCTCCTAATGCCCAAGGCTCTTGCCTGGAGGACCACAGTGGCATCCCCCTGCCTCAAGTTATCTTTCCCATGCAACATGAACTGCTGTCAGATTCTTGAAATGTAACATTTTGGGCTTCAACTTTGAAATAAAGAACTTCCATCTCCTGTATAAGTTATTCCACCCCAGGTATTTTAGACCTCCAACTTCAAATTTCTAGGCTTTCTTGTAGGCACATGACCCAGAGGCCAGGCCTATGGTGACGCTGTAGAAGGTCCATTTTCATGGCCGTGGTAGCAACAGAGCTCCCCAACATATCAGCAGTAGCCAGGTTGAGTAATGTTGGTGCGCAGCAGAGTGAGCTGCTGGCATTTGGCATTCAACCACTGCTCTGTAGCATTTCAGGGGGCTAAACTTGGAAGCTTAATTTCAAGTCTGGGTTTCTCCAGTTCTTCCAGTTTGTGAGTGACATATCCTTGACTAAACAAATCCCTTTTCTGCTTACAAAACAACAAATGAGAGGGCTGGGGTTGTAGCTGAGTAATAGAGCATTTGCCTGGCACATGTGAGGCACTGGATTCCCCTCAGCACCACATAAAAATAAATAAATAAATAAAGTTTTTAAAAAATTAGATGTCATTTCATACCCTCTGGGATAGTTGAAATTGAAAAAATGGACAAAACATATTCTGGCAAAGAGACAGTGAAATTGTAAACTCACATTTGCTGGTAAGATTTTTTTTGTTGTTTTAATTACTGGGGATTGAACCCAATGGCACTTAACCTCTGCTGTTTATTAATTAATTAAATTAATTTTTGAGACAAGGTCTCAAGAGAGTCTCACTAAGTTGCTAAGGCTGGCTTTGAACTTGTGATCCTCCTGCCTCAGCCTCCTGAGTCACTGGGATTACAGGCTTGCATCAACATACCTGGCTGCTGGTGGTGTAGCTGCTTTTAAAATGGTGTATCTGGGGCTGGGGATGTGGCCCAAGCGGTAGCGCGCTTGCCTGGCATGCATGCGGCCCAGGTTCGATCCTCAGCACCACATACCAACAAAGATGTTGTGTCTGCCGAGAACTAAAATAAATAAATAATCTCTCCCTCCCCCTCTCCTCTCTCTTTAAAAAAAAAAAAAGCAGTCTCGGGGAGCATTTTTAAAAAACATAAAATAAAATAAAATGGTGTATCTGCTTTTAAAAACTGTGGTAGTTTCTCAAGAGATTAACTCTAGGATTACCATATGGCCCAAGGCTCTTGCCTGGAGGTAGTTTGATTTCCATGCATAAACCCAAGAGAAATAAAAACATATTTCTATACAAATATTTACACACTGATCATCAGCATTATTCATAATAGCAAAAAAGTGAAAACAACCAAGTTGTCCATGAACTGATGAATGGATAAAAAATGTGGTATGTTTACATAATGGAATATTATTCAGCCATAAACATGAATAAATATCGATAGATGCTACAACAAGGATGAACCTCAAAAACAGCATACTAAGTGAAGGAAGTTAGAATCAAATGTTGACAAATTACAATTCCATCAAGATGAGTTGTCTAGAATAAGAAAGCTGCAAGAATGTTAGTTACCCATTGCCAGAGGTTGAATGATGGGGTGAATGGAAAATGATTAATGGTTACAGAGATTCATTTTGGGGGTGATGAAAATAATCTTGAATTGGATAGTGGTGATGGTAGCACAATTTTGTTAATATACTGAAAAACCAACTGAATTATTTTACATTTTAATATTGTGAATGTTTTAAATCTCAATAAAAATAAAAGATGCATTCCTTAAAAGACAAAAGTACTAAAACTAACAAAGGATAAAGATTCTATGTAAACCTGTGCCTATTGAAGAAATTGTATCTTATTTTAAAATGCCTTTCCACAAAAAAGTTGCATGACCCAAATGGCTTCACTGGTGAATTCTCTGATTTCATTTACAGGGTTATAATTTGGTCTTAAAGGATGTGCTTAGTATGTTAGAGGCCCTGGTTTCAATTCCTACCACCAAATATATATGTGTATTTGTGTGTGTATGTGTGTGTATTTTTTTTTAATATTTATTTTTTAGTTTTCGGCGGACACAACATCTTTGTATGTGGTGCTGAGGATTGAACCCAGGCCGCACGCATGCTAGGTAAGCGCGCTACCGCTTGAGCCACATCCCCAGCCCCTGTATTTATTTATTTTTTTAACTACGAACTATCACAGAAAGTAAAAGAGGAGGGAGTACTTTCACCTAATTTTGAGTCCAGCATTGCCCTGATTTTAAGGCTAAATGAAAATAAAGACACTATAAGAAAAAATAGATATGTACCCACTGTACCCATATCTCAAATACAAAACATTTTAACTACACATTGGCCATATCAAACACATTGCACATATAATATACATTCTGGCCAAGTTGTATTTAACTAAAGAATAAAAATTTTGTTCAATCTTTGTAAAAAAAAAAAAAAGTCCAGTTTAATATTCCCGGATGGGAAATTCTTTTCAACAAATGATGCTTGAAGAACTGGATATCCAAAAATAATCTCAATCCTTACCTTACATCATTAGCAAAAAATTAATTTGAGATAGATCATAGCTCTAAATGTAATTGTTAAAAACAATAATTCATCTAGAGGAAAACATCCTTTCGATCTAGGGATAGAAAGACCTAGAACACTGAACATGAAAGGAAAAAAGAAAAGTGGTTTCTCGGGGAGTCAGAGAGGGAGGATGTTGCCCTAAAAATAGATCAGAATGTGGTGACCCAAGTTAGGAATTTAGAACTAGTTTTTAAGTCTTCTGTGTTCCAGCAGCTGTCAGACAAGGCAGACCAGAAGCCAGTGGGATCAAATCCCTGGAAACCAACTGGTGAAATTGCACAGAAGTAGGCTATTGATGCATGGTAGGCAGTGTTGGCACCTTCAAATACTGGCACAGCAGTGAGTTCTGTCCCCATACTGCAAAGGGAAAGGCCTGGACTCCAGTCAAGGGCAACCATCCAGGCCAGATTCTCTGGATTGACATCACTTGTGTGCCAAAAGAATGCAGACAGCTTTGACTGCCTTTTCATTTGTGCTGGGTGGAGAGAGGATTAGAGAAGAGTCCAAATTTTAAGGCTTTGAGGCTTGGCCCTCTGGACTATTTCTCTGTGTGCTGCTACGTGCCCAGGCCAGCAAAAAGTCTTGATCTCTCAAGAGTCAGATTATCAGAACCAAGAATATGATAACCTTTTCAAAATAATAACTGCATTTTTAATTTTTTTTAAAACAGGATATGTCATCAATCCTCAAAAAATTATATTTTATAATAT